TTGGCGGCGCAATCGGCCTTCTCGTGCACACAGTAGCCAATGAAGACGGGATCGGCCACCTTGATCAGTATATTGTCCACACTGTGGGCATGCAAGTAAAGCACGCCTCGCTTCTGCATATCCTCCAGTATGCCCTGCCGCTTCATGGCCCTGTAGATGCCACCGTTGCCGTCCGGAGCACGCGCCACTCGATGCTTCTTGTCCAGTATGATGCGTCCATCGTATTCGAAGCACGGCAGTGAGCCCTGCTCGAACAGCAGCACATCCTCCGGCTTCAAGCCGAAGAAGTTATTGGCCACAAAATAGTCGTAGGTCGGCTGGACAGTGTGCTCTGAGGTCATGATGTACCAGGTGATGTTTCCACGCTTCTCATTTGCCTCTTGTGCCAGCTCCTCCAGCTTCAGAATGCGCTCGGCTTGGATTCGGAAAAGAGATTTCCTCGACTGCAGTCCCACATCGTACATGCCCTTGGGATGATCGAAGCCAAGTCGTGTGCCTGCAAAGGGGAAGCAACGAAAACTCTTTAGATTTCAATTCAATATTTAAAATCCATCAATCAGCCAATAACAAGAAGTGCAACCATATTCGGTTTCCAACCCTTGTTGCCCTTAAAAACATGTTTCTTTTACATATATATGTATGTATATATTTATATTGGTTTTTTGGGCTTTACGCTTTGTTTGTACACCCATTTAAACATTTTAAGCGGCTCCGCTACCCAGAAGGTCAGCCGCAGTACCGGTTTTTAATTATCAGTTGAATCAGTTGTGATATATGCAATTTATTGGCTGGCAAACCAAACTGACGCCATAAACTTCACACTCCCTCTAGAGTGCCTAGTTTCTAGCCAGTGGAATGGCAGGCAACATTATTTTTACTCGTACAGCTAGTACCGTTGGGAGTTGTCTACGTGTATTAAATAGTACTATACAGTACAATTCCCTGCCCCCTGCCACAGCCTGACTTGTATCTCTTTCAAGTCAATTACGTGATTCGACTTCACCTGTCTGGGTTGGGGCTGCAGCTGGCTACGGCCCGCTTTCTGATTCGTTTGGTCAAGGGGAGTGAACACTCGAATCGTGAAAAGGAAATGTCAAATGCCGCCAACATTTTAATATGGCGCTTGAAACAGAAGTGCTAGTAAGAAAAATGTAGTTGCTTTATGATAGTACTTAAGGGACACTAAGTAAGCACTCAGCTGTTATTCAGTGAGTGGACATTGACATTAATGGAGTAACTAAGCCCACCAATATCTTTCTCAAGATACAAAGGAATACTGAATGAATTGCATTTTAACCCAATATTCTCTGTTATACGACTCAACGATTCTATATGAATTCCAGCCGCTATTGCTTCATTGTAGCTTCCAAATATGGCTGTTGCTCTGTCTGTTTCACTTAAAAAAACAAGAAGGGACGTGTGAGACGCTTCTTACGCGTCACAACTTTTATACCCGGTACTCAGTAGTACATCTGTAACTTAGTGTTTTTTTTTCAAATTTAACATTTTCCATTTTTTTCTACATATGACATCTAGATGTGACTTCTCATGCCTACAGGCTCGCCCCCTCCCGAAGAGCCGCACACTGAACGAAGCAGAGTGTGAATGAGAGAAAGTGCAAGAAATAAAAATAGCTGCTGGATGGGGTGGGCTTAGCCACTCCAATCTAGTTTCTCCATTCTGGCTATAATTATGATCCAATCCGATCCCAATTTAGTGATCTACCCGGTACTCGAAGAGTAACGAGAAGGGACGTGTGAGACGCTTCTTACGCTTCACAAACGTTTCCGACCCCATAAAATATATGTACTCTTGATCAGCATAAGTAGCTGAGTCGTTATAGCCATGTCTGTCTGTCCGTTCGTCTGTCCGTCCTGATGAGCGCCTAGTACTCAGCGACCATTAGAGATACGGCAACCAAGTCTTGCATCCAGATGGCTGTATGCTCAAACTTTTACAAGTGTATTTCAAAAATATTTCAAACTAAATTAATTTTCAGTGACTAAACCCACCCCGTCCAGAAGTTTTTTTTTATTTTTGCACATTATCTCATTGAGATAGAGCAGAGAGTGGCTCTGCTTTGTTCAGTGTGCGGCTCTAGTGAAGGGGGGTAAGCTAAAAAAGCTTGTTGGCGTGATAAGTGCTGTAGATGTAGATCACATACATATATAGACAAAATTTTAAATGTAAAATTTGAAAAAATCCGCTAAGGTAAAAGCTTTGACGCGTAAGAAGCGTCTCACAAGCCTTTCTCGTTTGAGTTTACATTTTGTTTATTGCACATCCAGGCAAAAATGTGAGTGGAATGGAGTGGTGTGTGGGTGGTTTTGGGTCTGTTTGATATCAGATTTAAACAAATAAAACATAAACTCGAGAGACTGCACAAATATACATAACAAAATTCATAAAAAGGTTAGTCATCCTCTGTTGTTTTGAGATGTTTTTAGAGTTTTGGGAGGAGTTTTTAAACAAGAAAAGAAAAAACTTGGGACTGTCTACAAAAACAAAATTACTTAAATTGCATTGGAAGAATTATATTTTAAATATTTGCAACATTCTATTTAATGTTTCCCAGGAAAATGAATAAGAAACAATTCAGCAATTCATTTTGATAAGGTTTAAATACAACACAAACGACTTTAAACATGAAAGCTTTAGTTATAATTTGAGACCAAGAAACAAAGAAAAAACCTACACCTTTGGCTAATCATTTGTGCTGGTTAAACACAAGTGTTTTTTGTTGTTTGTTTAGCTTGGCTTTTCCCCCCGCTTGGTTGCTCCCTTTGGGTGCTGTGTGACCTTCACTTACCTTGTCCACCTGCCATAAGCAGCACAGCGACATGTCCATTGCTGATCTGACGCAGTCCCTCATCCCGATAGGCGTGCAGCTGGTCCTCGGGTGTGCGCGCAATGGATATCACCTTGCCCGCGGGCATCGGCTGCAGGCGATCGTCCAGCTTGATGCCATTCTCGTTCATGGAGACGGTGGCCCGATCGAAATACTGTTTGATCTCATCCAGATTCAGTTCCTCGATGTCACGCACCAGATCGGTGCGTTCGTCTGGTGTTAGCTCGGGCCAAAACTTCAGCAGATGCTCCTGGTGCACCTGGGCGAGTCGCGTCTGCAGCGACAGGTAGTCCGTCATGGTCGGTGTTTCTATGGCTGGAGTGGCGTTTCGAGTGTTGGCACCAAAGCTGCCTGCGGGTGGAGATGGAACGCAATTAGAGTGGTTGTTGATTTAGCTAATGCAGTAGCAGTAGTACACTCGTTCATGTACTTTTCTGTCCAACTGTTGTCTCTCTGCCCCCGCTCGCGTGAGTGCGGGGAGTGTGTGATGGAGTGATAATATGGCGAGAATGCGATACAAAACCGTCGGAGTCGTCAGTGGTGGCAGAGACAACGTTATGTTTCAATCTGGTTACGGGGTAGGTTGGTTGTATTTTATTTAACTTTTATTTTTTGGGCTTCCCAGCGCCTTTGCGAACCTTTAAACGTGGTAGCCAAAGCGCAACTGAGAGCCAAGCGATCGCCCTCAGTGGTTTTTCTTGCTCACAAGTGGAGCTGCCCCACCGCCGCCGCCTCAACCGCTTCGCCGTGTCTCCCTCTCCGTGTTTGTCTTTGTCGGTGTCTTTGAATGGCGCGCATGTGTGCCTTGGTTTTGGTTTGTGGAATGTGCGAGTGTTTGTGTGTCTGTTTTGACGTACTTTGCAGGCGCATATTTAAATGGCTATATTTATTACAGTTGTTGATACTACCCTGTAATAGTATGTCCTCCAACGAGTCGATACGTTGATATGTCTTCCCAAAATTAGTTGGAAGCGCCACTTCTGCAATCATGTGGCCTAGGTGAGTAAAAATCGTTTGCTCAAGTCTCCCTGCAACCTAGTGTTGCAAATGCAAAAACCAAACGGCCCTGAGAGCGAACTGCGTGCCTGAAGCGAAAGTAAGAGGTGGACCCGGGCTCAGCTTGTATCCATTTAATGGCAACAAGGAAACGACTGGGGGTAAAATGTTCAATAGGTTGGGCAGCAAGTTGTTGGAAAGGTTATGGATTTGTCATTTAAATAATAAGCCAAGAATTGAGTACGACATTTATATGCGGAATGTCTTCAATCTGCTCGGCCGGTTTGTTGGGTTTTTGTTTTTGCCACGAAGCCAAAGAGGCAGAGAGATCCAAGGCATATAAAGCAGCAGGCAAGGCAGAGCAGCTTTTAGCGTGCGCGCTCTCTGGACTGCCCTGCCCTTGCATCTAATGTACTTTGGGGGCTGCTTCAGCTGCTCAAATACACACTTAGCCATAAAAAGCAGCAAAAACACCACACACTCAAAACAAAACGGAAAGAAACGATGATAACAGAATTTTGTTTTCCGTTGCTGTTAGTCGCTCCTCTTATCGTGGACATTGATTGGGCCTTGCCGTTTCGTTTTATCATTATCAACAGATTCTTCGTTTTTGTTTTTTATTGCCTTTCGACTCACCATTGCGATGGCGCCGCACATTAGTGTGCTGGTGTTGCAGCAAATTGTAGCTGTGGCGACCCATTTCTTTGGGTTGGGCTGTGGGAGACACTTGACACAGAAGAACAACACCCTATATTATGTGGGAGGCACTTGCACCTGTACTTGCACTTGCACATGCACTGCCCTATACCAATTGGATTGCTTTCCATTGGGCTTTCGCTATGCCATCATTTTGTGGGCCATGCACGCAAGTTGACTAATTTAAAAACTAACTCAAGAAATTAAATTAAATACAATGCAAACTGGAGGCCCCAATCAGTGTGACCGTTTTATTGATACCACCTGACTCTCGGAAATATACCTTATCATTTTAAAAATATACCAATACCAAACCGAGATACCAAATAAAACCGGTACACTAAAAACGAATAAATATTTTCATTTTCAAATTAAAATTTAAATAAATTAGTTCGTTTTTGAAAAAATTGTAAAATGCATGTTAAGCTCAATTAAATTTAGTTCGAATAGAAGAAACTTGTTTGTTTAAATATATTTACAATTATTGACTAAATAAAGCATCGTTTACAATTACATGTAAGAACTACAACAGAATTTATGCATCTAGTTATGCTCAAAGGTTAGCCTGGAAGGGTCCTCTCTCTAATATTTCGCGGTTCTTAGGAGCATCAAGCAACCGTCTAATCCAAAGGAATCTACAGATTTACAAACGGTAATTACAAGAGTGGGAAAGGGCGGGAAACGTACTTGATGCAGAATCATACAAAACATGGGCGTTAATGTAAATCATTAATTAGATCATTCTTTTAAATATCAAAAAACTCATTTGTATTCAAAATGAAGCCGATGATGACGTCGACGGTATGTCATCCAAAGTGATTAGCGTGGCGGTGGCGGTTCCACCAGCTGTAGGTGCAGCAACAGCGGTCTCGATGCCATCTTTAGGTGACGGTGCCGGCATTGGTATGGCAATGTTACTCATGGTGCTAATCATACGCGGCTCGGCCCTCGACGTTGTGATGGGTAACTGCGTGGAATTGCTGCTGGGCTTAAGAAAATCGGGCTGCGGTGTCTGTGCCGGTCCGGGACCATGACTATGACCAGCAGCTCCACTATGACTATGAATGTGTCCAGCTCCATGGCTGTGGGTGTGTCCGTGGCTGTGAGCGCTGTGATGCTTCTGTTGCTGATGATGCTGGTGGTGATGGTGATGCTGCTGCTGCAGCTGCGACTGCACGGGATACGACTTGGGCAGCTGGGCATGCCGCGTGGAATCGGTGGCCTTCAATCGCTCGCTCAACGCCTTCAAAGCTATTTGCCTGCAAATTGGACAATACGCGACTTTAGAAAAACATTTCCAAGTTATCAGAATTGCAAAACTTCACTTACCGCCTGCGCTCAATATCATGCGGATCCGCACCCGGCATTTGCACTGAGATCGACGTCAGGCTGGCCGTTGATATCGTGCGCAGTGGCGTAGGCGTTTTGACCACGCCCACCCGCAAACAGCAGTTGTAAATGGGATTTACCAAAACGCTGATAAACGGCTGCGAAACACTCGGAAAGAAGCTAACAAATGTGAAGCTCTCAGAACTGTCGCCACGTCCGTTCGGATGATGCTGATAAAAGCGCAAGTAGATCCAGGAGACCAGCGAACCGGAGGCAAACATGGCCGGATATGTGCCATCCAGCAGGCCAATAGCCCACGAAATGATTGCCATAATGAGCACAGTGAGTGGAACGTTCCTTTTTGGAATGGACAAAAGGGAGAAACATTCAATCAGCATACAATCATGTCATGTGGACTACTCACCTATTGGTTAGACGTCCGTAGCGGGTCTTGAAGATCAAATGATCTGGCATTATTTGCCGCACGGCCACACAAATTCCAGCCACATAGCCGGCCAGGCCATGGATGTGCACATCGAACAGAATGGTTGGATTCTTGGTAACCATGTAGTAGAACAAATAGTAGATGGTCGTAAGCAATGAGACGCCGAAATTGCTCAGCGCAAAGAATTTGAACATCTCCAACTGGCCCCAGAGTGGCTCAAGCATCTTTCCACACAGTCCGACAGTGACGACATCAACGGCCACTTCCCACCAGTGCAACTCGATGAAGCAAAAGGTGAATGCCGTCCATATCCAGAACTTTCCGTTAGGCAATATGTAGCCCGGTGTGACGCTCAGCAGAAGGATTGCCTGCTCCGAGAAGGAGAGCAGATAGCCGAAGGTGGTCACCACACAGATGAGCGTTATCACCGGCGAGGTGTTGTGCAGCAGGGCGTTCAACTGTTGCCATATATAGGGCCAGTTTCGTGCGAGTGGAGCTGACATGGCAACTAGAACACGAACACCAAACTGTGCTGTGCTGTGTGGCTGAAGTGTCTGATGATTTTTCTGCCTGTGTGAATTTCAGTTGTTTTCTGCCCCTGTTGCTATTAAGCCTGCTCCATGAGAATCCCGTTGCTGGCGTAGGTTAAATGCGTATCTAGTGTCGTCTGCGTCGCAATTAAAGACGTTCTTCTGCCCTCCAATTTGCACAAATTTTTGTTTTATTTACGATTTTGTTTCACTTTTTTGGCACCAGTGTGGCCAGTCGCTAAACTACTCAGAATGCCTGCAGTGTTGAAGAGTATTGTTGGTAAAATAAAACTAAAACGGCTACATATTTTTATAAAATAATAGGTCTGAAAAATATTAAAGATCATTCCTCCAGCTTAAACTAAACTTACATAATCTTGTGTGGAGACTTTTACGATGATCCGTAGAATCGTTGATAGCTGTTACAGCAACAATAAAAAGATAGGCTACATCTGCGGGAAAGATATAAGCAGGTTTAGCAACACTGTTTACGTGCAGTTTACAACACTTTCACAATTTCGAAAAACTTCGAAAAATGTTATTGGCTGAAAGTATTTATTTTCGATATAGAATTTCAAAGTGCACGGCGGGAATGGAATGTAATAGGAGAAAATCTTAAGATCTTCAAGGCAATGTTCTGGGCACTGCTGCGCAATCTTTGAATCCCTGAGGGAGTTGATAAAACTTTCTAAGTAATTTTTTATTACAGGTTGTTCGTCATGTTCTGAGCAGAGAGAGTTGGTGTTAGTGTTTTTCATGTTGCGGTGTTTGAGGCGGCGGGCGTTGAACTTGCCACTGTCCACTGGCCATCGACAGGTCCGGCGGTATCTGTGGGATCAACGGAGATAGGTAGTGGGTTTTTCAGACCTGAATTTTTATTGGGTTGTAATAATTTGTATTGCATGTTCGGTTATACCAGTATATATACGCATAACCACCTGAGTTTAGCCTGCCTATTAAATGGCACAGAAAATGATGAACTAATTTACCTAAAAGGAGAAGGAGGAGGACTACAGGCAGGCAGTCGTTTTTTTTGGTCATAGACGAGTACCACTTTCATCCAATTGGCAGAGCGGATCAGCACAGTGTGTGGAAGGCGTTGGCGATAGCTTTATGTCATATTGATGGCACCCACCGTACCGTCCAACTGAGGGTCCAGCAGATAGGAAGCATGGAGATCATCGGCGCCCTGACGAAGGTGCTAAATATGCTGGATATCCGTAACCTGGATCACAACTTGATTGCCGTTGTCGCCGATGGCTGCATTGCCAACGAGCAGGCAATGATGTCAATGATGGCAACAACATCGCCATTGGGATGTAGCCATCACGGGCTTATATACCCGCAAGTATGGGGACAATTGGGAGCAGGAGTTCCCAACCATTGAGGAGATAAATCCACCGGCCAATGTGCGCGCCGTCAACGTTCTAGAGATGACACAAATCCAGGATGTAGTACGGCGCAAATTGGCCCTAGACGGAATCCCATTCAGCCTGACGCACATAAATAGTGGAAGGCTGGAGGTGTTCGGACCATCCTTTCGTATAAATATTCTGGAGGTATTCCGGAAAATTAATAGATATCATTCTGACATATTGTTAAACACGTTGGCCTCCGTTCAAACTTTTAGCTGGGTGCTGAGCATGATGGTGAGCTTGACGGACCCCAGGGACTAGCACCTAATAAACATTAGCATTTAAGTTAAGTTAGTTATTTCTTCCCATTCACTTTGAAATAAATACTTAAAAATAAATACTTCACCGTTTTCAACTTTCAACCTTGGCAACAAATATCAATTTTGTTTGCTAGTATGTATGTGTACAATGAATTAGTAGTGCCGCGCCTCACAATTTTCAAAAACAAAAGTACCACCATATTCAAATATTTCTTTCATAAAAATATTCACTAAGAAAATTATGCTTACTGATGGTGACTTTTTTGAATTGATTTGATTTGTTATACCCGGTACTTGAAGAGTAAATAGGGTATATTGTATTTGTGCGAATAACCCCATAAAGTATATATATTCTTGATCAGCATCAATATCCGAGTCGATAGAGCCATGTCTGTCTGTCCGTCAGTCCTTCCGTCCGTATTGTTTGTCAGCTAGTTCTCAGAGACTATAAGAGCTAGAGCCCCCAAATTTTGGATCCAGACTGCTGTATGCTCACACTGAAACTACTGTATTTCAAAAATTAGCCCCGCCCCCTTCCGCCCACGCAAAAGGGCGAAAACCTACCAAATCGACAATTTTAAAAATAAAAGAAAACTAAAAACGCCATTCCGTAGGCAATGACCATATCTATCAGATCACCAAATTGGGATTCGATTGGATCATTATTATAGCCACAATGAAGAAATTAATTTCCAGTGGCTAAACCCACCCCTGATGAATCCAACGAGCGTGAGGTGGCTCAAGGGGGCCTAGCTGAGGCCAACGGACGGGTCGCAGGTTGTGGATAGCGAACGGCCTACCTTGTTTAGGTAGGTCAACTGTGCATAAGCGGAAATAAACAGCCCTGGACAGCAAGCGGGTGTTCGCGAAGTAGCAACACTGACGATGCGCTTGTGGTGCCGCCTCGTATAAGTAGCTCACACACAACCCTCCCCCACACAACACCTATCCTCATCCTCCCCCACCCACCTCAAACCGGGCCGGGCTAAGGTGTCATTCGACCCGTTCCGAGAGTCAGTCTGGCTGGGGGCCCGGTATAAAAACTAGCCCAGTCGTGAACGGAGAGCTCAGGGAAATGGCAGCCGCCTGTTCTAATGATGCCTTACCTGGGCAACGTGGATCTCTGCCCGGGCTGACCGTTCCCCTTCTCTGTAGCTCGTGGGATCAGAATGCATAAAAATAATAATAATAAAAAAAAAAAACTTAAAAAAACGAGAAGGGACGTGTGAGACGCTTTTTACGCGTCACAACTTTTATTCTCGGCACTCAGGACCACATCTAGATGTAGAAGACATCGCCAACCATTAGATATCGTTCACATTACAGAACACGTAGTAAGAGCCTACTAAATAAAATGCATCAAACAAATTGGATCAGTTAATATTTTCCAATTTATGAGATATTTAAAACAGCAATAAAATTGGTACATTCTTGGACCGATAGGTTTCACAGCAAATTTTTCGAAAGTGGCGCCATCTATGAAAATTTCCTGTACGCAACTTTGATGTGCAATAATGACCGATAGGTTTCACAGCAAATTTTTCGAAAGTGGCGCCATCTAGAGTTGAAAACCGAGTCTTGGTTAAAAGTCGGAAGAATCATCGCCAGGGGGAGGGCAGAGGCAGGGGCCGAGTGAAGCAGAAGCAGAGTGTGAATTAGAGAATGTAAACAGAGCAACAAAAGCTGCGGGACAGGGTGGGTTTAGCCACTGGAAATTAATTTCTCCATTGTGGCTATAATAATGATCCGATCGGATTCCAATTTGGTGATCTGATAGATATGGCCATTTCCTACGGAATGTTTTCTTGTATCTTCAAAACTGTAGATTTGGGGGGTTTTCGCCCTTTTGCGGGGGCGGAAGGGGGAGTGGCTCATTTTTTAAATACACTGGTTTCAGTGCGAGCATACAGCAGTCCGGAGACAAAAATTTGGTGGCTCTAGCTCTTATAGTCTCTGAGAACGTCGGAAGGGAGCAATCCCAAGCAGGGAAAGGCAGCGGCCCAAAGGCCTGTCCTAACCCGCTCGATAGCAGGAAAGACCTGACCGGTGGACAGCGAGAGAGCGAGCCCGTTGGGGCCCCACTCCAATCCTGCGGTGGGTGGCACGGCACCCCCCAATACTGACGCCTTGGAGAGGAAGCTAAGCAACATTGCCAAATGTGTCCTTTGCGCAGATTGCCAAGGAGAGCACGCTGATAGGCGTCGTCGACAAAGGCAGCGCGGACGGAAGAATCCTGAGGAACCAGTGGAAGTGGGTGGAAGCGGCACTGGCCGACCGCTGCTTCGAGCTCCTGGACAAAGACCGTCGGCCCACCTCCAGTCTGCAGAGACATGGGATGGTTCCAGGGCAACACGAAAATTATAGCCTGCGAAGATTAGCGCTCCGTGCAGCTATATAAAGCAGCGGTAGCGCAAGTAGGCGAAGTTTACCCAGGCGCTAAACTATCAGCAGTCGGCTGGAGCGAAGTGCCCAGTAGACCGAGGGCGAGAATTTGGGTGCCGGCCTCCATAAGAGAGCCAGAACGCATCCTGGTAATGTTGCAGCGATGCAAACCAAACCTTCCAACAGCGGACTGGAAGGTGGTCAAAAGTTGAAGCGACGCAGCGCCCCACAAACCAAGCCGTGGTCGTGCTAAACAAGGAGTCGCTGGCCCCGATAGAGGCAGCCAAAAATGAGCTCAACTTTGGGTTCAGCTCTGTCACCGTAAAGGTGTACAAGGATGCAGCGGCCGGGGTGCGTCCTGTCGACAACCCAGTCGAGCAGGATGTTGCCTCGGAGATCGAGGAACCCGACAACGAGCTGGAGTTGGCCCAAGAAGGTGGCTCCCTAGAGTCGGAGCTGATGCTAGAGTTCGAGGCAATGTGCCGGAACGAAAGCTCCGGCAAGTCGGAAGCCGACAATACAGTGGTGGAGATAGGAAAGGATCCCTCTGAGGCTCCTTCAGATAAATCTCCACCACTGTAAAGCAGCAACTGCTGCCCTGCTACTCCGCTTGGAATCGAGGGGAGGCGACGTAGTCCTAATCCAGGAGCCTTGGGTGGTTGGAGACAAGGTCTGTGGATTAGCGACGAAGAACTACAAGCTGATTGTAGCACCTAAGGAAGGTAAAATTTGCACCTGCATTTTAGCTAGAAAGCACGTAAAAATCTTTCTGCTCCAAAATTTTAGCGATGGCGACAACCCAGCAGCTAGCCTAGAGCTGCAAAGGACACACCTCAGAGTGGTGTCGTCCTATATGGCTCACGACCAATGTGACCCTCCCAGCGACCTCGTCCGCAAGATAACCAGCGACAGCGAGAGGTCAGACACAGGCCTACTGATAGGTTGCGATGCCAACGCCCACCCTACCCAATGGGGAAGCTGGGACATAAATGTAAGGGGTGAGTCACTGTTCAGATTCATCCTAAGCTCGAATCTGGTTCTCTGTAATCAGGGAAATGACCCCACCTTCATTATAAAGAACCGACAAGAGGTCATAGACCTCACCCTAGTGTCCCATAGAATACTAGGCCTTATCAAGGGCTGGAGAGTCCTAGAAGAGCACTCCTTTTGCGACCATAGGTACATAGAGACGATAAAATCTCTCGAATGCCCAATAGCTGATAGTTATATAAACCCTAGGAAAGCCAACTGGGAGGCATATTCTAAAACCCTGGAATAACTTCTTCCCCCAACAGCATCAACATGCCCTGATACACAAGACGACCTTAACAGTCTTGTAAATAGATTCACGGAGGCATGTAATAAAGCCTTTAAGGCCGCGAAAACGAATACCTCTGTGGGATACATCAAGATTAGAGATGGTGCATGGACCCCCTCCAGAAAGGAGTCCCTACACATCCTACTTGATACCCACTTTCCAGGGTGCCGAACCACCGGAACGCCCCGGTGAAGGCCCAGCCACATCGATGGCGCACCTACTCACAAAACGGAACATTTGCTGGGCGGTGAACAGCTTGAAACCGTTCAAATCGCCAGGTCCACACAAGGTGATCCCAGCTCAACTTCAGAGAGCTGGGGCCAACCTATCCGCTGGCTACAATGTATCTTCAAAAAGATACTAAAAGTAGGAAAGATTCCTAAAGCATGGCTCAAGGCAGAAATTGTCTTCATCCCGAAAGCGGGAAAAGCCTCCTACTCGACGGCAAAGGACTTAAGACCGATTAGTCTGACCTCCTTTCTCCTAAAAACATTTGAAAGAATAGTCGGTCTACATCTGAGGACAATCATCAACCCTCAGATGCTGTCAGACTCACAACACGCATACCGAAAAGGTAAATCCACGGAAACGGCCCTACATGAAGTAATTTCAGGTATAGAGAAAGCTCTACACCTAGCGGCCTTCCTCGATATTGAGGGAGCCTTCAACAACGTCGAGCCAGGAGCCATTACGGCGGCCATGACTGACCTGGGGGTGGACTGCCACTTGGTGATGCTCATCGATCAATTGCTCACATGCAGGACGGTGACATCATCAATGGGTTCGTCCACTCAGACAAGGTATGTAAACAGAGGCACCCCGCAAGGAGGTGTCCTGTCTCCCCTCCCATGGAACATTGCAGTCAATAAGATTTTATGTGACTTGGAGGGGTGTGGTTGCAAAGTAGACGACGTTGTCCTAATGTTCACGGGAAAATTCCGCCAAACACTCTGTGATCTTATGACCACAAAACTTGCTCAATTGTCAGAATGGACAAGATCGTGCGGATTAGGTGTAAACGCCTCGAAAACGGAACTTGTGCTATTCACTAACAAGTACAAAACTCCGCCACTCAACCCCCCAACACTAAACAAATGTAGGTTAACCTTTAGCGACAGTGCCAGTTACGTTGGGTTGGTAATAGACAGAAAGTTAAATTGGAACCTAAACACGTAAGAAAGAGTGAAGAAGGCCACTATGGCCCTATACACCAGCAAAAAAGCCATCGGACCAAAATTGGGCATGAACCCACGTACAGTCCAATGGATATACCAAGCTTTTGCCAAACCAATACTGCTCTACGGAGTCACAGTATGGTGGCCGGCTCTTTCCAAAAAGACAATCAACGCTCAACTGGCAAAGGTCCAAAGAACGGCCACTCTTTGCATCAGTGGCGCTCTCCGCACCACACCAAATGACGCACTAAATGCCATTCTATGCCTGCAGGGCATAGACCTTGCAGGGAAGGAACAGGCAACAAGGGCAGCAATACGTCTGCGAGATTCGGACCTATGGACGTCACCACCATATGGTCACTCAGCGATCTTTAGGGACACTAATATAATACCTCATAGGACTGATTATTGCGTTCCCAGAGAGTACACAGCCACCCCCTTCGAGGCTATAATCTCCCCCAGAGAGGAATGGCTCGAGGGCACACCTGGCCCAACGGGGGCCATCAACATCTTTACTGATGGATCCAAGCTAGACAACAAAGTTGGCGGAGGAATCTACTCCAGGCAACTAAATATGAGGCATTCCTTTCGCCTTCCAGACCACTGCAGTGCCTTCCAAGCGGAAGTCATTGCTATAAATGAAGCGCTAAGATGCCTTCAAGAGATCTCAGTCGAGGCTACTCACCTCAACATCTTTAGTGACAGCCAGGCGCCACTAAATTCGCTAAACGCGATTTCGTCGAACTCGACCACAGTGGCAAATTGTCGCAAATCTGTACACGAGATGGCAAGCCAACATGTTATTAGCCTAATATGGGTCCCGGGACACCAGGACATTGAAGGCAACTGCATAGCAGACGAGTTGGCCATATCTGGCACTACACTCCCCGTTAATCAAGATAAGGAGGAAATACGTATGCCAATGGCCTTCTTGCAAGCTCAAAATAAAGGATTACTATACCCTGCAAACAACCAACAGATGGCAAATGGTCACGGGCTGTCGCATCACTCGGCAAACATCTCGAAAAAACGCACCGCTGAACTATGCAAACTAAGCAGACATAGGTGCAGCGTAGTCATTCGCTCTCTTACAGGGCACTGGCTAATAGGCAACCATGCGAGTAGGCTGGGTGCCCCCTATAACGACTTCTGTCCTAGCTGTAGAGACGAGAACGAGGAGGAGACAGTAGAACATCTGTTCTGCTCCTGCCCGGCTCTCAGTAGAAGGAGGCTAAAATATCTGGGCTCACCTTTTCTTAACGACATTTCAGAAATGGCTACTATAGGCCCCAGGTAGATAGCAAACTTTGTGAGAGCATCTGGATGGGAGCACTGTTGACACCCTGAGAAACTGGAGGAGAAGAGGAAAAGATCCAAGCGGAATCCACAACGGGCCGAAACCGGCCTAGGTGTGTCGGGATTGTGAAGTCCCGACGACCGCCTCAACCTAGCCTAACCTAAACCCACCTGCAGCTTATATTTGTTTTTTGCACATTCTCTCATTCACACTCTGCTTCTGCATTATGCGGCCTCTGCCTCTGCCGATTTTTAACCCACCCCGTCCCGCGGCTTATATTTGTTTTTTTTTTGTGTGCGGGCGCTGCCTCTGCCTCTGCCTCGAGTTTGCAGTGTGTGGGCCTAGTGAAGCGGGGCGAGCTTACGGAGCGTGTTGGCGTGAGAAGTGTTGTAGATGTAGATGACAGATGAGGAACAAATTTAAAATTTAACAAATACCCGCTAAGGTACAGATATAGTACTGAGTGCCGGGTATAAAAGTTGTGACGCGTAAGAACAGTTGAACACAACTGTGTGTGTATTCTGCTTTGCAGTGCTGTCGAAACATTATGTTCTATGCACTTTCGGAAGACGTTTGCCTCCAATACTAGAAACCCCCTTATTAAGTACTTCCTTGATATGATACATTCATATGTACGTATGTAAACATACGTAAAACATTTAATATGAAATGCATTAGGGTATTCGAGTCTGTCATATTGTTGTTGTTGAAGCCATTGACCACTTATTCACCACGCACAAAAAGACAAGATTAAAGATGGTCCCAAATATGGTGGAATTAGTAACAAGGTGACGGATTCACCACATCCTCCTCATTCGAGGAACACCTGATCATGGTGAAATTACTAATAAACGGTTGACATCTCTTTCTAGCGCTTGCCTCTTTAAGAGCTGAGAGAGCGTGGTGAATAAGGTGGTGCTCCTCCACTCAGCTGACGACGTCACCTTGTTACTTAATTTCACCATGGTCCCGAACATGGTGAAATTACTAATTCTTCCATGGTCCCGAAAGAGTGCCGTGGTGAAAACATACACATGCATAAGTATGTATGTCCACAAATAAACAAGCAGTTGAAAGTGAAAATGGCCAAACGGTAAGTAATTTTTATACCCGGTACTCGAAGAGTAAATAGGGTATATTGTATTTGTGCATTCACTTTGATGTATGTAACGCACAGAAGGAAACGTTTCCGACCCCATAAAGTATATAAATTCTTGATCAGCATCAATAGCCGAGTCGATTGAGCCATGTCTGTCTGTCCGTCCGTCCGTCTATCCTTATGAGCGCCTGGATCTCAGAGACTATAAAAGCTAGAGCCACCAAATTTTGCATCCAGACTTCTGTATGCTCACACTGTTACAAGTGTATTTCAAAAATGAGCACCGCCCCCGCAAAAGAGCGAAAACCTCCCAAACCTACAATTTTGAAGATAAAAGAAAACTCCACTCGACTGTTGCCGAAGTGCACTGCCAGACGTCGTTTGCCAGATGTCGTCTGCCAGGTGTCGTTTGCCAGGTGGCTGGCATCCACTCGGCTGTTGCCGAAGTGACCTGCCAGTCGTCGTTTTCTCGAAGGGGTTTAGAAGGTTTGAACATCATTTCAGAGGATATCAGATTCGCAGATTGAAATGTAAGAGACCCTTGGATTAAAAAAGATATCTAATTTACGTTTTATTATGACAATTTGTATGCATGTGTGTTTGTTAGATGTGCATCTTGGTTTTTTTTTTATAATTTCAATATTCTCCCACTTGTCTTGGCGTTAAACATAATTCATTTGATGTAATATTTAAACAACTATTGCATTGGCATTCAATCAATTCGCAGAAATATTGAACTCAAGCAATGTAGTCTCACAATTGAATACAACTAAAAACTATTCAAAATAAAGAAGTTTCTCTCGTTCATTAGTACGCTTCTCGCTCGTCCTCGTGGGCAGCGGAAACGTCTTAAAGGTATGCTGATAGTGGGCGAATTCGGACGTTGAAAACAAACAAACAAAAGAAACAAAATACGGAATACAGATTGTTCTTTTTGTTGTTTAATGGGCGAGCGAGCGTGTGAGAAATATGATGAAGTATTGGTTGATTGAATTTCGGATCTACTGCTTAGAACAGCAGCGTGCCCATGCCGCCCATTTCAGATTGTTCCTTGACGAAAATCTCAAAGTACTGGTAGATGATGGTCACAGCCAGCAGGATACCGGTGCCGGAGCCGATGGCGCCGAGAAAATCGGCCATTACCGATAGTGCACCGATGCAGAGACCGCCGAAGGCTGCCGCCGTCGGGATATAGCGATTCAGTTCGTGGATCATCGAGTTCTCGCGATGGCCACGCATCACCATGTGCTGTTCCTTCAGCTGCTTGGCAACCTGCAGAAAGCAAAAAGAAAACCAAAAAGAAAGTTAGTTTTCCAATTGCATCACATCCCCTTCGAGCTACTTACATCCTTGGCTGAGCTGCCGGACACATCGATCCAGGTCTTGGAGAAAAACGCACAAGAGCCCAACATAAAGACAATGTAGAGCAGGGCGTGGATAGGGTCAGTGAGTATGTGGCCGACGCTTTCGGGCGGAGACAGATAGTAGCACAGACCACCGATGGGATAGGAGCGCGCTGGGCCGCCACCTCCAACATCGGCCCACACGCCGAGCAAATTGATGAAGAAGTTGCCGTTGAACTTGACTGCCAACATCTGGGAGATAACGTACAAGTTGGACACCAGAGCGGACTGCAGAATGATGGGAATGTTGGAGGTGTAGAACAGCTTGATGGGATAGCTGCTGTACTGGCCGCGGTAGCGAGCGCTCTTGATCGGTAGATCCACGCGGAATCCTTGGAAGTAAATGACGACAGCGAAGACCAGAATGGTGGCCAGCAGGTTCATCAGATTGGGCAGGTTCTGGCGGTAGAAGGCCTCGCGCAGAGCACGCACCTTGTCGTTCCTGGTGGCCATCAGGTGAAAGAGGGCAATGACAGCGCCCTCGAACTCGGTGCCACGTCCCGTCGTCACAGTAGTGGGGGAGAATGCCTTCCACACGATGGTCTCGCAAATATTGGTGGCAATGAACAGCGAGATTCCCGATCCCAGGCCGTATCCCTTCTGCAGGAGCTCGTCGAGCAGCAGCACAATCAGACCGGCAGCAAACAGCTGGATTATGATGAGCAGACAAACGCCGGCACCAATCTCCGCTGGGTCACCGTACATGCCAGTCATCACGTAGACGATGGCCTGGCCAATGGTGATGACCATGCCGAACAGCTTCTGGGCTCCGTTAAAGAGGGCGCGATCCTTGGGCGTATCACCGACCTCAATGATCTTCGCTCCGGCCAGCAGTTGCATGATCAGGCCCGAAGTGACAATAGGCGAGATACCCAGCTCCATGAGGGTACCACGGTTGGAGGCCAAAATTACACGAATCCAGTAGAAGGGATCCGCCGAGTCGGAGCTCATGATGCCGAACAGTGGGATCTGGCAGCACACCAGGAAAATGAACAGTGTGATGGCGGTCCATAGTACTTTTTCTCTGAATTGGATCTGGGGAAAAGAAATGAAATGTTTATAAACCTTTCATATAAAACTTTCATTAATTTGTCTTGAACATAAACTAGGAAAAAACCTCGTACGGTTTGCCGCTATGTTGGCCTACACGTGCAGCGGGGCGTGTACGTGCATGCGTGTACGTGTGGGAAATGTTTAAACAAAATCAGGTTTGCTCATCGGCATTGTCATCGTCATCGTCGGCTCGTCGTCCCCCGCCCCCCACAATCATATGGTTAACAACAAAAACACACGAGGCTGACGTCGACAGTGGTTAGGCTTCGCAGTGCTTCGGGCGACTGCGACCCGAAGTTTGACGTTTCCACGTCGCGTTCGTGCACGTTTATCTGTGTGTAAGAGGGAATCTGGCAACAAGTAGCACGCGAAAGTAGTGGCCGTGATAAGAAAAGTAGCAGATCCGATCAGATGGAAATCTGACGATTCGTCAATGAAAATATTTAGCAAAGGCAAAACAATGTAGAGCATTTTATTCAGCACAAACTCTTTTTGCGAGACAATTGAAAAAATCCAATTTAACCTAGTCTGTGACAAGCTAAACTCTAATTTAGGCCACGAATTAACTTTTTAATGAACCTTTGAATTCTTGCGAGCTCATTTGAAGCATTTTACCAGCCTTTACTCATCTTTTTTGGCCATTACTGTGGGCAGATGCAAACTGTTTGCGTGGCGCTTTGCTTACACTTTTTTGACAAGTGAAAGCCAAACGAGTGCGCTGGCAACACTGGTAGCCGACCAATTGTCCAACAGGCACTTGGCACACACGAAAACAGCACAATAAGCCGCTAAATACAAAAAAAATTTGCTTAAAATTAAAGAAATTACTTGCATTGCACTTCCCCCCACATTTTGCTTGCATTGAACTTGAGTTTGACTTAGTTACAACCATACTATAATATTATACACACCTTGCGCTCGGGCTTTGCAATTTCCGGCAGTATACTGCAGAAGGGTTTAATAACTTCGAGGAATTTGACTGCAAATAATGAATGGAAAAGACTTCCGGTTAAACGCGAAACTCCGTTTTCAATTCAAATTGTGGCTTGTACAGCGCACAAATAGTACAATTAGAGCTGCTTCACACCGACATTTTTTTGTATACGTAAGCAAAAGAGCGACCGAGGGTGCGGGTGCTCGTTCCACTGGAAGCGGCACTTTACTTCACACCGAAAATCGAACTCTTTGGAAATATGAATGCAGGAATTGTGAATGACTCTACTTACTTCCCATTGTGTTTGACTTGTGTTAGCGCGCGTCTGAGAAACTGACGGTCTGGTCTGGCTGGACTGTTGTACTTTCTATACAAAAATTAGAAAGTTATACTCTTTAGCTGGGCAACGAACGCAAACACACTGCCCCGAAAAACGAAAAAGAATGCTCGCTCGTGTTCGGAAATGTTCGTTTTTCGTAAAATTAAAGACGTGTCATTAGGTTAGTGTGCCCGCGGATTTATCGACAGAATATACCAAAAAACTTGAAAAATATACCATACAATTTTCAAAATATACCGTAAATCTTCAATAATTTTCTTCGATTTTGATATTCTGTTTAATATTTATTACCAGCTCGTTATAACTTTCAGCACTGTAAATATAATTCCATCCAATTGATGAATCGTTTCTCTGCGATTAAACGTTGTAAAATAACTATTTTTTAAAAAGACGACACTATTATTTAAGTTTGAGCAAGAAGGTATGAAAAAGTGTCCTTTTATCTACACAAAAACTAACATTTGCTACATACCCATTATGACCTATGATATTATACCCGGTACTCGAAGACTTAATAGGGTATATTGTATTTGTCGGAAAATAACGGTTGTATGTAACGCACAAAAGGAAACGTTTCCGATCCCATAAAGTATATATATTCTTGATCAGCATCAATAGACGAGTCGATAGATGTCTGTCTGTCCGTCTGCCCGTCTTGTTTGTCGGCTAGTTCTCAGAGACTATAAGAGCTAGAGCCACCAAATTATGCATCCAGACTGCTATATGCTCACACTGAAACCAGTGTATTTTAAAAATGAGCCACGCCCCCTTCCGCCCCCGCAAAAAGGCGAAAACCTCCCAAATCTACAGTTTTTCCATAGGGAATGGCCATATCTATCAGATCACCAAATTGGGATCCGATTGGATCATTATTATAGCCACAATGAAGAAATTAATTTCCAGTGGCTAAACCCACCCTGTCCCGCAGCTTTTGTTGTTTTTTTTCCATTCTCTGCTTCACACTCTGCTTCGGACTCTGCCTCGAGTCTGCAGTGTGTGGGTTTAGGGAAGGGCGGCGAGCTAAAGGAGCGTGTTGGTGTGAGAAGTGTTGTAGATGTAGATGACAGATGAAAAAAATTTAAAATTTGACAAAACAACGCTGATTTGCAGATGCACTTTTGTCCCAATGACCAGTTTTGGTGGCTGTTTACGCCAAATTAGCGCAAAGGGCTTATGGCCGGGAGCAATTAGTATTTTGTATAAGTAAAATGAATTTGTAGAATTTAGATATTGAATTGTTGCATTTACGACATACTCACAGAAGTTTGTTGCTAAAGAACATACATGTAATATGTGAATACGATAGAGAAAGAGGAAGAACATGCATTTAATAGGTGAATATTGAAATTGAAAATAAGAAGAAATTAAATTGATTTGAATTCCGACTCGGTCGAACCAGCAGCACTTGGCTTTTTATTTCGAGATTTTGATTCTGAACTGGTTGCGAGAAGTTGCGGAAACAGTGGCCAAAAGCTAATTTTTAAAAGTTAAAACCAAGACTCCGTTTTCAACGTTCTGTATTAGAAAAAGAGTGACCATCAAAGTTGCGTACCAGAAATTTTCATAAATGGCGCCACTTTCGAAAAATCTGATGTGAAACTTAGCGGCCATTATTTCACAGAATGTGAAGATAAAAGTACCAATTTTATTGCTGTTTTAAATATCTCATAAATTGGAAAATACGATTAACTGATCCAATTTTTTTGATGCATTTNTGTGGGTCTAGGGAAGGGCGGCGAGCGTGTTGGTGTGAGAAGTGTTGTAGATGTAGATGACAGATTGATGACAGATGACAGAAAAAATTTAAAATTTGACAAAACAACGCTGATTTGCAGATGCACTTTTGTCCCAATGACCAGTTTTGGTGGCTGTTTACGCCAAATTAGCGCAAAGGGCTTATGGCCGGGAGCAATTAGTATTTTGTATAAGTAAAATGAATTTGTAGCATTTAGATATTGAATTGTTGCATTTACGACATACTCACAGAAGTTTGTTGCTATAGAACATACATGTAATATGTGAATACGATAGAGAAAGAGGAAGAACATGCATTTAATAGGTGAATATTGAAATTGAAAATAAGAAGAAATTAAATTGATTTGAATTCCGACTCGGTCGAACCAGCAGCACTTGGCTTTTTATTTCGAGATTTTGATTCTGAACTGGTTGCGAGAAGTTGCGGAAACAGTGGCCAAAAGCTAATTTTTAAAAGTTAAAACCAAGACTCCGTTTTCAACGTTCTGTATTAGAAAAAGAGTGACCATCAAAGTTGCGTACCAGAAATTTTCATAAATGGCGCCACTTTCGAAAAATCTGCTGTGAAACCTAGCGGCCATTATTGCACAGAATGTGCAGGTAAAAGTACCAATTTTATTGCTGTTTTAAATATCTCATAAATTGGAAAATACTGATTAACTGATCCAATTTTTTTGATGCATTTTATTTAGTTGGCTTTTTACTACGTGTTCTGTAATGTGAACGATATCTAGTGGTTGGCGATGCCTTCTACATCTAGATGTAGTCTGGATGCAAAATTTGGTGGCTCTAGCTCTTATAGTCTCTGAGAACTAGCCGACAAACAAGACGGACAGACGGACAGACAGACATGGCTCAATCGACTCGGCTATTGATGCTGATCAAGAATATATATACTTTATGGGGTCGGAAACGCTTCCTTCTGTGCGTTACATACAACCGTTATTCGCACAAATAAAATATACCCTTTTTACTGTTCGAGTACCGGGCATAGATATAAATAAAAATTATTTTCACAAAACAAATAGCAATGGGACCAGTGTGCTTAAAGCAAAGCTTAAAGAGGGATCGAAAACAGATGAGTGCAGAGAGGAGAGAAAAACAAGCGCAGCGGCAGCTAAAACAGTGAGCGCGCGCTCTGCGCTACTACACAGAAAATATTGAGAGCGAGAGAGGGAGAACAGTTACTCGAGCTAGAGAGTGAAAGGCAGAAGCGCAACTACAAGACAGAGCGGCTAATAGTGAGGGCGTACTTACAAAAAGAAAAAGCACAAACACACAACTAACCGACGCACAAATGAATACGATTAAATTTAAATTTTAAACAAATAATACCCATGCACTCGCGTATTAGGATATGTAAGAACAGTGGCAAGCTAGAAGAATTATTAAAAAAAAAACTATTTATCCAAAATAGAAAGGAAAATACGGAGCGCAAAACAAAAACACGTATGGTCACAACGAAAGGGAACGAACGATTTTATTTCGATTAGGAAATCAAACACCTCCTTGTTCAAAAATACAAAAAAATTGTTTCTCTCTTCGGAAAATTTGAAAAACGATCTCAATGCATCGGTTATATCGGTCGTACTATTTGACATAGGTTGATTTAAGTCGATAAAAAATTACACAAAGCTAAAATAGATGTACCTACTTACAAACATGAGATTCAAATAGATACTAAATGCCTCAAGGTGCATTTATTTCGTCGTGGGTGCATTTGGTCGTGGGAAGTTGTATTAAAGTGCCTAATATGGATTTCCTAACAAATCTGAACAAATTGACTTTAGTTTCATTTGCCTACAACACATTTTTTTTGACTATACGAATTAATTTACTATTTACTATTTGGTTAGTGTTACTATACTATTTGGTTAGTGGCAGAGGCCTGGGACTCCGAGACGCACATGCAGCGGTGATATTTCGCTTGTATGAAGTTGAGAGTCTACTATACTATTTGGTTAGTGACTGAAGCCAGAAATATTCTGGCAGTTGTGCACCCCCCAAATGTTTTGAATTTTTATACCCGGTACTCGAAGCGTAAATAGGGTATATTGTATTTTTGCGAATAACTGTTGTATGTAACGCACAGAAGGAAACGTTTCCGACCCCAAAAGGTATATATATTCTTGATCAGCATCAATAGCAGAGTCGATTGCACACCGCAGCCTTGTATAAAATCGTCGAATAATAAACAAAAATTTTAAAAACTAAATACGGATAATAATTGTCGTAAATGTGACCATGGCCATGTGACTATTGAAAGCACAAACATTTTTTACAATGTACTTGACACAATTTTTGACACGTGTGTCCCACTTTCATGTCCGACTAGATCTGCGAAACCTCCTTGGTTCACCAAAGAGTTATCCAGTCTAAAAAATCTAAAATCAAGACTATTTAAAAAATCTCAAGAAGTCGGTTCTCCCTCTTCTCTTTCTAATTACTTAATAGCTCGGTCAAATTTCACTGTTCTTAATGCTCAATGCTATAGGAACTACCTCCTTCGATGCAGGATACGTTTTTCACAGGACCCTAAACATTTTTACAGCTTTGTAAACAGTAAGCGTAGAACGTCCGCACATCCATCCTCGCTATCATTTTTGAATATGTCGGCAAACAATGATCAGGCAATCGCCGATATTTTTGCACAATTTTTTCAAAACACGTATTCCCAGGAAAGCTATCCAGGCCATATGTATCCATATAGTTTACCAAGGTCGAATGGCATTTTCTGCCCTTTGTTTAATGAAGGTTAAGTTAAGCCGGTATTTTCAGTCGAATGGCATTTTCTGCCCTTTGTTTAATGAAGGTTAAGTTAAGCCGGTATTTTCACCGGGCCCTGACGGAGTTCCCGGCTGTGTACTCAGGTACTGTGCCGAGTCTCTGTGCGGACCTTTGCTTAAACTATTCACTCTATCCATTCATTCTTCTAGATTTCCCCCCATCTGTAAGGAATCCTTTATAATTCTTCTCCATAAGAAAGGTAGCAAGTCTGACGCTAAAAACTAAAGAGGTATATCTAAGTTATCCGCTATTCCTAAAATGTTCGAGACAATTTTAACTCCGCACTTGCAGCATCTCTGCAAATCACTTATATCTCCAGCTCAGCACGGATTTATACGGCGACGATCAACAACCACTAATCTTTTAGAGTTCACCTCCTTTGTCATTAAAGGATTCCAAGGTAACTTGCAGACGGATGTTATTTACACTGACTTCAGTAAGGCATTCGATTCTGTAAACCATTCTCTTCTTGCACAAAAGTTCGACCTTCTAGGGTTTCCGCCCAATCTGTTGAGATGGATTTCTAGATACCTGTGTTCTAGGTCTCAAAGGGTCCTTTTCAAAAACTCCTTATCTTTA